AGGTTGAAGAAGTTGAAGAAGACCCGTCATCACCACTGTCAGAACTGCTAGACCCAGAGGAGCTGGCACTTGAAGATGGGTCTGACCCAGCTTCGTCTGAAGGTGGCTCTGCTGCAACTTCTACCTCTGCACTACCTCGGGCCCTGGATGAACCCCTTCCACCGCGGCCCCTTCCAGTTTTCGCACGCTTTGCCTCTCCCTTGGCCTTCGGTTTTGGTTTCGGCACGCTACGTTTCCTGGCAGGCTTAGCAGCAGGAAGATGCTCATCATCTGTTGGGGGGCGATTGACATCAGGCACACTGCGGTCGAGAACATCAGTGTCCGGAATCTCATCCAAACTCATGCTGGCAATGCGGCGCTTCAACTGCTGGTGCTTCTCATGTGTACTGCAATCATGCTCAAAGCCTTGGATGATAAAGTACTTCATCCTTCTGATCAAAGCAAGACGGTCCTCCTCAGTCTTGTAATTGCCAGAATATGTGCACAACACTTTCGCTCCGTTCTGCTTCACTCGAACATGCGAGCGCCGAACACAATCTACTTGCAACCCCCCCCTTTTGTGATGCTTGAAGGAAACACATCCCCAAACAAACAATCAGGCAATTTGAACTTGCCTCGCCGCGCTGCCGATGTGGCAGCCACCACTTGTGCATCCTGAATGTTCCTATCTTGACCTGCAACATCCATCTCGAAGTCTGTTCGAAGGAGCCTCTGAGGTTCACGGGACAACAAAGCACTATAATATTTGTCATTCGCCCCATGCTGCACACTCTTGACATCATGCTCCCTGAGAAAAGCTCGGAACTCGCTATTCTGTTGAATCTCCAGCAGCACAGCCAAATACTTGCGGTTTACACGTTCAGCTCTAGCTGACTTCAAGATGCGCTTTGCAGACGCAGCAGGAGCACCAGCCGTGATTGTCAAATTCTGCATATCCTTTGCCCCCCCTTCATGCACCTTCCACCCAGCTGCAAACAACGAATGCAATATGGTGAAGGCAGTCTGCTGGCTTGGCTCCTCTGTAGAATTTGCTGGAATCAATGACCGAGGGTTCTTCAGGGTCCTGGCAAAAGAAACCACTCGCATCGCTGCTTGAGAAAGCTGGTAACCAGACCTGGGAGGCAAGGAGGTATGAGGCAGAAGCTTTGCACGCACAAACCACACACAAACATAACATAGCTTAAGTGAACATCAAAAGTACGGCTGAAGGCTGAAGCAAACTAGGCGCAGGGTGGCAATGTAAGTAAACAGCGCGCCGTCATACTGCTTGAAAAGAGAAATCTCATCCAGTGCACAATCTGCTTCGTCAATCACAAATGATGTCTTCGGCAGGGCTTTGCACGCAATTGCACGGTCAAGCAAGTCCATGACATGAGCAGGCAAGTCAAAGGATTTGTCCACAACACATGCCACGCAATCATCATGGTCCCAGGTCAAGGCATGTCTGATATGAGAGGGTTGGGAGCGGGGCAGGATCCAATCAAACTCCTCTTTCTCAAAAGGTGCACTTTGGCATACAAGCCCTGGCGCTGTCATTGCCTCCACCTGAACACTCTCAGCAGCACTGGCAGAGCGATGTTCACCCGAACAATTCATTTTCAAGCAAACATGCCTACTCACCGCAATATCGTCAGCTCCAAACCCTATCCCGGTTGCACGATCCTGCTTGACACGGGCTGGTCGAGAAGAAACCACCTGAAAAAACATATGATCAGCGTCCAGGCATTGGCGGGCGGGCAAAACTTGATTGTCAGAAGATTCGAAACCTGCAACATCAACCTCCATTGGGTGTTGCTCGATGCTGCACTCCTGCTGCAACCACTCAGGCATTTGATCATCCCCCTGGTTACATGAGTTCAAGCGGTTCATGAAAGGCACGACAACAAGCTCAGTGCAAAAGTCATGGCGCTGTAACTTGATTGGCACGCTGTAAAAACAACCAGGTTCAAGCACATCTGTGAAATCATGCATGGCTTCAATGTTCAGCAACCGTTCCTCAACACTATCAGCTGAAGGCATGGGCAGTCGAGCAACCTCCACCTTAGGTTCCTCGGGAGGCTTTTGGCACTTCGACACATCCTGAAATTGCAAATAGTGGTTGCTGCGATAGATGATGCCTTTCACTGTCTTGCTAAACTTGAACGTGCTGCCCAAAACTGGTAGTAGATTAATGTCCTCAACGCCTTGGAATGCAGTTGCGAGGTCTGGGTGAGCAACAATGCCAAACACAGGACAAGCACGCAATGGGTGGTAGACCTGGGCGCATGTGTCAGCAAACCATTGCAAGCGGCCTGGCTGTTGTATAGCTGTCAAGAATTCAGGCCAACGATTTCCCAAGGACAAGGATGGCAAGCTTGCTGCGTGGCTCCCATGCGTCAACACAGATTTGGAGACTGCGTGCATGCGCTCAACAGACATCTCACAAATAGGAATCCATGCAATTCTCAACACATGAAATCTCAATCTTTGCAAGTCACGAAGCGAGGCTCCTGCAATGAACTCGATGATGAGAGGCCTAAGACCACCCTGAGCTTCTGGGTCGCAAAACTTCTTTGTGAGGGCATGCGCCTGCTGCTTCTGCTCGGGAGTGTACTGCTGATACTGAACAAGAGCTTCAGAAGCACAACGCCTAGCTTGCTGCTGGTCTTTATGACCAAGGCCAAAGAGCACACGTGGCAATGAAGTGTAAACAGCAAACTGAACCCTCATCCTGAACAATAAATGTTGCTTTGCCGCTTCAAAATCTTCAACAACCTTTGCTCGATCCTGCGGGGTCAAGTCTGCAAGGATGACGGATACCACCTCCTGATTGCTAGCAGCTAGGAGTCGGTCCAACATGCTAAGGAAATCCCCAGAAGCCAATTCTGGCCCACGTCGTTTTCGGAACGGACAACTCTTGTCAAGACGTCTTTCTTGATGTCGCTGTTCATTTGGATCAGGCAAGGGGGCACTAACAACACGCAAGAGATTCTCCATGGTTGCTGCTTCACAATGACACGGGCATGAAAAAAACCATCTCTCCAAGTACCCCAGAACTGCAGTCAAAATTGACAACATCCGAAGCCACGCCCAGAACCCAGGACTTTGGATAGCAGCATCCACTAAATCCCAAGCCATGTTGTGAAATGCATCCTCTTCCCCATGGGCATCATTGTTCCGTTGGACGCGAATACCCATTGCTTGAGGGTTCCATCCTGCAATGAGAGCATTCTTCCGAAGGAGCAGTTGAGGAACCACAGCTGACAAGGACAACCATCTCCACTGAACAATGGTATGTGGAAATGACCGGAAAAGCGGTTGCAAAACCTCCAGATTGTCCCTCAAACACGTGTGGGTAAACAACTCTCTGTAGTATGGGGCATGGAGGAACCGTATGAGCGCATTCAATTGAGGGTAGAACAAGTTGGCATAATTGGGCATGGTGTAGACAAATCCCTTGCTTGCATTCCCCAACGCATGCAGTGGGCCTGCAATATCTACAGCTGCCTGCAAAGATAAAAGATCCCCAGGATCCACAACCGCCTCAGGATGCGGGCCAACTCGGTTTGGCTGCTCAGGAGGATCACCAGCTTGCTCACCCGCATCAATTTCAAATCGAAGCTCTTCTGATGGCAGAAAGAATGGGAAAGCTGCATCAAAACGTAATGGAGGAACCCGCACCAAAGCTTTCTCTGTACCACGATCTGTAGTGACACTTACCACGCATGTGTTCATGTTTGCGAGTGTGCCTGAGCTGCCACATTCCATGAATAGCGAGTGCTGAAGTGCAATGTATTCATGTAAGAGCGTCGCATGGTTAGACCCGAGAACAACAGGAATGTTGCAATGATGTTGAATCATGGAACGTGCCTGCTCCAACTTAGCTTCATGCTCGCCCAAGAAGCCCTGTAACTCTGGGCCTTCAAGATCCTCTGTCTGCAGCACTCGGACTAACTCCAAGATTTCTCCAAAGACATCTCCCAAGGGCAACACATCTGCAGCAGTGATGAGATCATACTCTGAATTTAGAAGGTTTTTGCCCCCCTGCGGGCTGCTGTCCACCAACAAGTACACTGAAGGTTGCTCCATGTCATTTCCAGAAACTTGTCCAAAGGAATCCCGCAATCTGTCTCGAACATGAAGCATCAACGCCATGTCTACCACAAATCGCATGCCATACAACACAGACTTCCCTGGGACAATACTTTCATCTGACACGATTTGCTGTAGATAGCCAAGTTCTTCTGCTGGGAACACAGAACGCAAAGCTGACACAAGAACCTGCTTCGTGCGTGTTGCTGTTCTGACATCTTTCACCAGGACAACAAGTCTCAGCAACTGAATCATTTTAAAACGCCTTTGGAAACCATGACGCCCAAATGATTCCATCCAGTATTCTTTTCGCAATTCTTCCATTGTGTCTGCTTTGTGCTCAAACAACTGAATGGCTGCTTCCAATTTGAAGGTTTGATCCTCTGCGTCAAATTCTTGCTGTTGTAAAAGGTACGCACCCCATTGGCGAATATTGGCCGCAAGCTCTCTCAAACCGAATGGGTTATGGAGATCACGATCGCCCTGAACAGGAGGTGCCATATCTTGAGCGTACAACCTTGACACGAATTGCCATGCTTCACGGAAAGCATTGGGGACAAACCTTGGAATCCTTTTCTGAAAACCACCAAGCGCAGCAAACGACCACTTCTTTGCTGCAATCAAGTAAGCAATAGGGGGCCACAAACATGCTCCAAGCGTTGCCTCTGTAGCAATTTCAGCAACATCCAAGCCATGTTCCCCAAAGAAAGTTCTGACAGCATCTACCCTGCAAAGCTCTTCAACGCAACCTGGATGCAACTTCACGAAGAAAGGCTGATTGCGAGAGCTTACCACTGCACGGTGAATATTGCGTCCCAAGCCAGTCAAATCACAAACATGCTCAATCTTCAAGGGAACAATAGGTGATCGATTGTAATACTCCCAATAAAAACGTTCTTCAGG